AGCTGGGGGCGGGACACGGGAGGCCACTCACTCACGGGGCCGCCTGGCGGCAGAGCCAACTCAGCAGCACATAACAAATGCAACAAGTAGGCACTGTGTTCATGGAAAAGCCACGCAGCACATGGAAGGCCACGCCGAGGCGCCGGGCTCACAGGGCAGGCCGTGGTGATGAGTGGACCCTGAGCCCAGGGCCACGGGGGCCTCACCAGGACTCCGGCGACCGCTGCGGCCGCGGCTCCCGCAGCCTGCGATCTACAGCGAGCCCCGCGGGCGCCCACGGGCCCGCACAGAGCCACGCTGACCACAGGGCGGCTGAGGGCTCCGTGCCACCCCCTCCTGCGAATCCATCCAACGGTCCCGTGGCTTCAGAGCGGGTTGAACAGCACCTCGTCCACCAGAGAAGTCAGTGAAGCGAAGAAGCCAAACTGGGAACCGAGGAGGAAAGCTCACAGGAGATGGGTCGGCGGCACCATCCCGCAGAGACCAGCAGCTGGGAGGGGACCACCAGCCAGGCCCGCTGACCCCGGGCGCCCCCCCAACAGCAGAGCCAGGCGCAGGGACGGGCGCGTGGGCGACTCGACTTGCGCTGCCAGGCAACACGTGCTTCGCTCAGTGCAGCCTATTTTTCTTGGGAAGTCTCCAGGTCAGATAACTCACCCAGCGTTACTTCAGTAAAAGAAAAACAGTGTGCGGAAGGAAGCGCGCCAAGTCTGCGCACAGCCGGGGGGCCGGTCCCAGGGGCCCTGACGCGACCATGGGGAAGCAGGCGGGCGTGGGCGTCAGAGGAAGCAGCCACCACGGGGCAGGGAGACGGGCGGGGGAGGGGGTGGCCGGGGCGACGCGCTCGGAGCCAGCAGCCCCCGCGCCTCGGGGACAAGGTCAGACAAGGAGGCCAACACCAGCACGTGGGCACGCACGTGTGTGCGCGTGGGTCCCCGTGGTCTGAGCGAATGTGTGCACGCGGGAGTGTGGTCCCTGGGCTCCCAGGGAAGAGGCCCCAGGCTCCCCAAGCAGCAGTGGCCTCCTTCAGATGGGCAGCCTGGGCAGGGCCCCCCCGCACCCACAAGACTCAGCCTGGCCAGGCCCCAGGCGGCCGGGCTCAGGGCCTCAGCACCAGGGCAAGGGGGCCACGAGCGGCGGCCCCAGAGCCAGGACGCGGCGGCCACAAGCGGGGAGCTCGCGAGCGGAGGAGCCGTGATGAGAAGCCGGGGTCTTCCCGGGAGGTCCTCTCCCAACGCTTCCGCGGACGCTCCCGCGCGCTCTGGCCTCCCGATCCTCTGGGGGCCGCCGGGGCCCCAGGACGCCGTGGGGAAACCGAGGCTCAGGCCCCCCTTTCTCCGGGGCTGCGTTTCCTCGACCTCCCCGGTCCTGGGCATCCCAGTGCAGGGCAGGGGGTCCCCTGGGCCAGGTTGGGGAGGCTCTGGACAAGGAGCTGTTGGGAGCACAAGCCGCAGACCAACCTGCCGCCCAGGCAGGAAGGGGCCCCCACCGGGTCTGGCCCACTCCCTGGGAGGCCCCGCAGCCTGAGCTAAAGCCACAGCTCCCCGCCGCGACCGTCCGAGGCGTCCTGGGCATCGGGTCAAGCAACAGACGGCCCAATGTGCTCGCGCTCCTTTCAGTGTCTCCCTCTGTTCCACGCAAAAAAAGCAGCTAACAAGACGCAGCACACGCGGCACAGGCGCAGAAGGGCCACCAGGAGCCAACCCGTCACCCCTCGGCTCCGAGGCCCCTGCCCGCCGGCCCGGTCCCCCGCTTCAGAGGAAGAGTGTTAATTACACGTTATGATACCAATTAGTCCCAAAGGCATTATGAACCAGGATCTTCGCTAAGCAATTTTATTGTTGTAATTATTTTCTTCTATCGTTTTTAATAATTACACTCTGGTTTTCATTACATTAAGATGCAATTAAGGAAGACACGTCCTTGTAGTTTAAGTCTATTTCAATTTTTTGGAAATAAAGAATTCCACAGCCGTCCATAAAGACCCATAAAGACCAAAGAAACCCCTTAGATGAAATTAGCCAAGTTTCCCTTAGGGGAAAACGGGCGGGTCTATTTATTTTGAAAACCTCGGCAGGAGACAGGGGCTGGAAAGGGTGGAGAATTCTTCACGGCACAAAAGACAAACGCGAGGCTGCGCACGCCTGCGGGGGAGGAGCGGGCCGGCTCGGGGCGGCGGACTGCGGCCACCTGCCCGCCACGGGCACGGCGCACAGAGGCGGGGCGCGCGCTGCTTCGGGCCTCCTTTCCAGCAGAAGGGCAACGTCGTCTGACACGTAGAGCGTGAACACAGGAGAGTCGCTGTGACGATGACCGCCACACCCATGCGCGTGGAGGCTGCGCGGTGTCTCCGGACGGGCAACGTCTCTGTGTGGCACTGTGCTCAGGGCCCCATTCACTCTGCTGACCTTCTGGCCCCGAGGTCGGCCCACGGGTCTTGATGAATGGCCAAACAGGAAACAGTTCAGGCTTCGTGGGACGCACGTCCTCGTTCGCAGCCGGACACTGGGCCCTGGAAGTCCATCTAGGAAAGCAGGCCCCCGTCGTGCCTGCCGCCGTCCCAGTGGGCCGGGCGCCGGGGGCGCCAGCAACGGAGACCCTCGGGGAGACGCAGCAGGACCTGAGGCCGAGACCCTGAGCCCCGCGCGTCCCTCTGGGGAGATTCCCCAAACCAGAGCCCAGCCAGACAGGAGACAGAAGCCACGGCTCGACAGCCTGTGCTCACGCTGCACGTGTGGCTCCGATCAAGCTCCCCGATCGAGCGTGTGCTTCGGGACTGAGCGTGTGCTTCGGGACTGGGCGGCCACTGCAGGCGTGGCAGTCACCTCCCCAAACCGCCGGGACCCCGTGTGGCCGGCAGCCGCCGAGGCCGAGGCCGGGGTGTGGGCTGGGGTCACCAAGCTGAAAGAGGGGACCGTCCTCCCAGAGAAGGGCGCTGCCCAGCAGCTCAGACAGCCCTCGGGAACGGACCCCCTTCCCAGCCTTCACCCCCACCTGCCAGTGGCCAGCCCCGCCCGCCCAGCCACGCCCGGCCCCCAGCGCCTGTGGCTCCGCCCCCGCCCGCGGCTCCTCCCTGCCCGCCCGGCCCCGCCCAGCCCCCAGCGCCTGTGGCTCCGCCCCCGCCCGCGGCTCCTCCGCGGCTCCTCCGCGCCACACGCACAGGCTGCCCGACAGCAAACCGCTGTCAGCTCCGCCTGCCAGACGCTTCTCACCAGAGAGCTGCCCCCGGTCCTCTCCGGCCACTGTCACCTCCTAAGTAGCCTCCCTGATTCTGCCCTTGACTCCGCCCAACAGCACGTTCTCATGTGAAAGAGCCTGTAAGGCCGTGGAGGCCCAACGGCCCGGCCCCCAAAGGCCCCTGAGCCGCCTGCGAGGCCCCATGGGACCTGGACCCCTGCGCACACCCACCCCCCCGCCGCCGCCGCCCCATCGCCCCTCCGCCCTCGCCGGCTCAGCGGCTCCGGTCTCGGCTCACTTTGAGCGCCCTGTCCTTCACCCTACTTCCGTCCTTATTAGGGTACACTTAGAGATTTTCTGTCCCTTCCGGTTCTACTCCACATTTTTTGGACTTTTTTTTCAAAATTTTATTTATTTTTAGAGAGGGGGTAGGAAAGGAGAACGGGAACCATCCATGTGTGGTTGCCTCCTGCGCGCCCCCTACTGGGGACCTGGCCCACCACCCAGGCCTGTGCCCTGACTGGGAATCGAACCGGCGACCCTTTGGTTCGCAGGCTGGTGCTCGATCCACGGAGCCACGCCAGCCAGGGCCCTCCTTTCTCTTACTATCTAGAAATACTTAAGTAGAATTCAGACATCGAAAAGAAGAGGCTGTTTCTTACTCCTGTCCTACCAAATCCTTACCCCACTGTCAACGGTGGTAGCGATCCAAGAGTTCTCAATGACACCTTTTTAAAACTCACTGATCATCTTTAAAGGAAAATAAGGAGCCAACTCATTATTCTGGAAAATAAGAGGAAAGAATGAAGCCATTATTCTGCCTTTTTTGGTCAACAAACTATACCTCAAGGCCACTTGTTAAAAAGGTTTCAATAAAGTTCTTCTTTGAAGCAATTTTCCAGCTAATAAAGACGGAACGAATGACAGGACAGCGCACCCCCTTCCTGTAACCCCGAGAACGGCTCAGGCGCCCATTAGGACCAGCGACGGCCGCTGACACCCGAGAAAACAGACGCTGGGGACCCGAACGGGACGGCCAGAGCGACAGCACTTGCCAACGTTCGCTCCGGAGAGACACGGACGATGACACCTGCCAGAGGTCCACTGTCGCGCGGGGAATGTTTTTCACCAATAAATGGAGCCTGAATCTGACCCAGCCTTCAGTTTACAGGAATCGTGGGGACGACACTACACGTTACCGAGCAGCAGGATGCGGGCAGCAGAGTCTCCACAGGACAGGAGACCCAACTTCTTGACCAAACACAGGGCAAGAGGGACAGGACACCTACAAGAGACCTGAGAGGCTCAGGGACCAAACGCAGGGTGCGGGCTTTGTTTAACTCCTTGGGTAGCCCGAGGCATTGTTAACCGACTGTGAGAAAACCTCTGAGACCATCCTGGAATCGGAATGCGAATATTTAGTGACATTAACAATTAAGTTATTGTTCATCTTTACATGTGATACTAGCATTGTGTTGTTTAAAAAATAATTTTTGTCTTTTCAGAGTCAGATTGAACTATTTGTTTAAAAAAAAAAAAAAAGCCTGCCTTTCTCTCTACATCCTCTCCCTGAAGTTCTCCTTCGAGCCCACGGCTTCAGCTGTGCTCACTGTGCAGAAGTTCCCTGTGTTCAAATGCACCCACAGCCGGGGGGGGGGGGGGGGGGGTGCGCAAAACAAGGGCACGCAAGCTGGCAAGCCCCGGGCTCAGGTGTGGGGCCACCAGGTAGACAACCGAGTGAAAAGCACGTGCCCTTCTTTACCCAGAGGCTCCCGGACAGCCCTTCAGAGCGTCCAGGGCGCCCGTGAGTGCCAAGTGCTCACCGTGTGGGGTCAGGCTTCCGGGAGGGGTGACATCTGGAATGCAGCCAGCGACCTGGAAATTAAAAAAAAAAAAGGCTTCTGTGACCAACAGCCCTCACAAAGCCCAGGCACGGTGTTCCATGAAAGAAAAAAGCGTGTCATTCATAAAACTATCCCACGAGGCATCCGCGAGAACGGACAGCAGCGGGAGGAAGCGAGGGCCTGGGAGCCGCGGCCGCAGAGGAGCAGCGGTGCAGGCGCTCGGGGGACGGAGACCCAGGGGGGCACCGGGTCCTCCCGGGCCCCGCCCGGCACCGCCCGGCCCGGCAACCACAGCCCGAGTTCGAGGCTCGGCCACAGCCCAGCCGGGGTCCCACCACACAGCAAGAAGGGCAACAGAGGGGTCACATTTCTTAGGGTGGTTAAAATTTAAGTAGCACTCTATTCGCTTCCTGGGGGAGGGAACAGGGTCCAGCCAAGGCAGGACTGAGATGGCTGAGATTGCTGAGCGAACGTCAAGGCCGGTTCCAAGCCTGGGAGGCAGGCAGGGCCCCCCGACTGCAAGCACCAGCCTCCGGCGGACGGGCGGGCTCCTCACACGCCCTCGGCATGGCGGGAGGGCAGACAGGAGTCTCTGAGGGTCCCAATGACAGCAAAGTTGTTTTTTTTAAGATCTTATTTATTTTTAGAGAGAAGGGAAGGGAGGCAGAAGGGAAACATCCACGCGTGGTTGCTTCTCATGCACCCCCTGCTGGGGGCCTGGCCCCAACCCAGGCCTGTGCCCTGCCTGGGAGTCGAACTGGAGACCCTTCGGGACGCAGGCCGGCGCTCAGTCCACTGAGCCGCCGCACCGGCCAGGGCACAACGGCAAGGTTTAAGGCCGGTACTGTTAAAAACTCGCCCTGATGCCCACAGTAAAGGTACGCGGGCCTTTATTCACGGCCACTGCGACAGAGATGGGCTCCCGGCGAGCAGAGCAGACAGCGGGGTCCACAGCAACCGGCCGAGCGAGGGGCCGTGGGTGGAAAATCGCTGAAACGAAACGTCAAGGGAGGGGTCTTGCCAAACCAGCAGACGACGGGCTTCCTGCTGAAGGCAGCGCTGGCACCCGACACCACGGGCAGGGCCTCTCCTACACCGACTCGCGGGATTCCCGCTAAAACTGGGCGGGGCGCGCGGAAGACCGCGCGGGGTCCGCAGTCCAGTCTGGCGGGTAAGTGGGCTCCGCGCGCGGCTGGCGGCAGCGGAAGGGGAGGTCTTCGTCCGTCTGGACCCTCCCCCCCCCTCGCAGGCTGCTGACCCGCGCAGGGGGCGGCCCCGGCGGGGGCGGCGGGACAGACGGGAGCAGCCCCGGCCTCCGGGGCCAAGCTGCCTCCCGGTGGTCGCCGCGTGGGGCGCTTTCCGGGGTCTCGGTGGCATCCCCCCGTACCACTTCCGTTCTGAAAAGCCTGGAAGTGCCCATTTCTCCACACCAAGCGCTCCTGCGGGGAGGGAACGGCACTTCTGAGTGTTCCTACACAATCCCTGTGCTACTGAGGCAGGTTGGGAATGAGACCTTTCCAATCGGCCTCCTGGTGGTGGGCAAGCAAGTAAATGAGAAAAAACTAAAAGACTGGATTCAAAAGCAGCTGAAAAGCAGGAGGCTTCCGATCACTAACGGGATCACCAGCGCCCACAGCACAAGCTGAGCCCATTGAAGACGCCCGGTCGGCCCGGTGCGAGGACGCGGAGCCGCGCCCCCACGCACCGCAGGCGCCACCTACTGGGCAAGTTATTTCAGAATCTAGGCCCGTGTGCGTGGGGGGTGCGGGGGTGCCTGTGTGGGGCGCGCGGGGTGTTCTCGCGTTGCCCCTCAGGTCGCTTCCCATCTCTTCCGCGGCGTCGGACCCCCAGGCCTACGCCAACCAGGCTGCCTCGCCCTCTGGCCCCTTGGAGGCGCCAGGAGGCCCGGGTAGAAACCAGGAGACCAGGAGGAGGCGACGCAGGAGGAGCATGGACCCCCAGCTTGCTCGCCGCGGGGTCGCGTGGGGTCTCTCCACCACAAGCCGCAGTGTCACTCAGCCGCCCTCCCCTTCCACCGCCGTGCCAGGGGTCAGGGTTCCTCGGATGAGTGTCGAAACCCAACAGGGGACGTCAGGCTCTAGGAGGCGGGGCCTCGGGGAGGGATCCTTAGGTCGTGGGGGCGGAGCCCCCGTGAATGGGGTTAGTGTCCCTATGAAAAGGACCCCAGAGGCCCCCTCGCCCTTCCGCCATGGGAGGCCCTGCGAGAAGACGGCAGCTGTGACCCAGGAAGTGACCTCGCCATCACCAAGCCTGCCGGCACCTTGACCTTGCACTTGCAGCCTCCAGCGCTGTCGTTCAGTCACCCCGTGCGCGGTGCTCTGTCCTCTGGACCGGACAGCTAAGCGGGAGGGGCTTCCCCAGTGGCCAGGGGCTCCCCCGCGTGGCCGCAGTGGCCCTCTGCCCCTGCGCTTCGCAACCCTGCAACACAGCCTCATGTGTTTCCTCCGTCACCTCCTTGTGTGCCGTTAACCTTCCCCAGACCTCTGCAGGCGACGAGGCAGAGAGAAGGGGGCAGAGAGTCAAAGATCCCATTGTGCACACTGGCCCTCCGCTGAGAGGGGCAAGAAGAAAAGAAAGCCCAGTTTCCGAGCAAAGCTTCGTGGCACGTGTGCGCGGAGAGATGCCCAAGGAGGCTCTGAGTGCACGGGTTCCGATGAAAATCCACAATTTCCATACAGGGTTTTGTACATCTGAGCGTTTTTGTGACAAAAGGAATCCAGAAAGAAAAAGGTCAGAAATTTAATTGTATTCTCAGAGGCTGACCCAAAACACAGCGCCGAGTCAGCGCTGCCCGCCCAGGAGAAGGGCGCCCAAGCAGACGCGAGCGGGACCGCAGCGTGCGCCGCTCATGCTCACGGGGGAGGGCCGGGCCCTCGCCCCCCACCCCTACCCCCACCCCGGGAGGCAGCTGGGAGTGAGCTGCTGCCAATCACTCCAGCCCCTAACTCGGTCAAGTGGCCTCTCAGAGGCTCGTCCGCCCAGCAGGTGCGCGGAGGCACAAGCAACAGCAGCAGCAGTTCCGGGGCTGGAAAAGCTCACCCTATTCTGGAAGCTCCAGCTGCTGCAGCAGGGAGTGGGGGCAACAGCCTCAAAGTGGGGAGGCTCAGGAAGCAGCAGGCCAGCGGGCTGAGCCTGCAGGAAACGCCCAGAGGCAGCCAAGGGCGCCCCATTCTGGAGCCGGGTAGCCCCACCGGGAAGCCAGCCCCGACTCACGGACACGTGGCTGGAGCCTGGATCGGCCCCTCACGGGCTGTGTGGCCGAGGTCCCGTGGCTCACCCTGCCTGGCTGGTTCCCCTCCCAGGCTGTCGTGGGTAGGCAAGAGACGGCCCCCCAGATGCAGTGGGCGCTCTGCCCCCTCGGGGCCTTCTCCACCCCCTCACGCCAGGCGCCCTCGCGCTGCCCAGAGGGCAGTACGGCCCAGGGCCCCAGACGGCGCGGCGGGCCCTCGGCGCGTGCCAGGTCGTGCCGCTCTGCAGGCTCCCAGGGCTGGCTCCTTCCAGGATGCCGTTTAGAAGCTGCTGATGACATCACACTGGTTCCCAGGTTCCTTCCAGCACATTTTGCCCACGGAGTGATCTGCAGGCCACGTAATAGGCTCAGAGGCCTGGGAAGACGGCATTCAGCAGCGGCACAAGGAAGCCACCCGAGCAGAGAGGCAGCGACAGAAGGGCACCTCACGCAGCTGAAGGCCAACGTGAGACCCAGGAATCATGGCACCTGGTCATCAGGGGCCCCACCGTCCCCAACAGAGTCGGAACAAGCTCCACACACTGGACTGTTTTCCCGCCCTCCCACCTCTCAGCGCCGCTGGGCCAGAGAACACAGAACAACTGTGGGGGGGGGGGGCGGGATGGGGGGGCGCCCTGCGGAGGGTAGGCCCCTCCGTGCGGCTGCTGAGCCAGACTACCCCACTCCCCCGCCCCGCCATCATCCACGTGACCCTGGGCCAGCCCCCAACCCCTCAGTGTCCCACCTGTAGCAGGGGCGGAGAGGAGAGTGGGGCTAAATACACGCGTGCTCCTGAAGCTCCAGGGACAGTGCCCGGCACATGGCAGCGGTCACCGCCGTGCGGCAGCCCCCGCCCTGAGCCGCAGGGAACCCGGCTCAGGGACTCGGGGAAGGAAGGGCCCCTCCGGCTCCCAGCAGCCAAGAGAAGCGGGAAGATGGGAGACAGGCGGGGGGCTTCCAACAGCGGCGCCCCATGCTCGAGCTAGGGGACCGAGACAGCAGCGGGGCGACCGAGCTGACACCCGTGGTCTCTGGGTACATCCTCCTGAGCAGGGCCGGGGCAGCTCCCTCCCAGGGCTGTCGTGAGGTGGTAGGCAGGACAGGAGCCAGTCACCTCTCTGTCTCCGGCCCAGAGTGCAAAGCAGCGGCAAAAGCAAAACCTGGAACCTTGTGGGTCTCAGGGAAGATGGTTGCCCGCCCAGACTGGAGCCCGGGGCACCCAAGACCCCGGCAGCCACGGATGGCGAGCTTTCCCTCCCGACCACACCAGACCTGCAAGCCCGGCGGGCATCTCCCAGCACTGGCACGGCTGCCCCTGTCCGGCTGGGCCCAGGGCGGGGGACGGGGGACGGGGCAGGGCAGGAAGACCCCACCACAAAGGGAAGCAGCCTGGGCTCTGGAAGTCGTCCTCAGCAAAGCCCGACGGAGCCAAGGCTCTGGGGACCACCTAACAGCCACTTCATGAGCTGGAGCTGGATTAGCGACGAGCGCCACCGAAGGGAAGGTCGTTTTTGTGTAAACATATGAGACATAAAGAGTGTAGATAAGCGTCAAATACCACGTCTGAAAAGGTCGCATGCTGCTTGCTTACACAGCTTTTCCCTTCGTCAGACAAATGATAAAACCTCGCGCCTCTGAATATAAATCGCTCTCCATTAAGCCGCCACTGTGGGAGAGCTGCGGCAGAGGAGAGGCGAGCCGAGCATCTGCCCCTGCCCTCCGCCCACCGAGCTCGCGGGGCTGGCGGGCAATTTATTTCTGTTGACCCAACAAAATACACA